TAACAAACCCCCTTTAACTTTTAGGGGGTTTTCTGATAACCCCTAATCTTAAGGGGGGTTTTCTGATAATTTCGAAGTTAACTTAACAAACCCCCTTTAACTTTTAGGGGGTTTTCTGATAACCCCTAATCTTAAGGGGGGTTTTCTGATAATTTCGAAGTTAACTGCCGCTATCCGAGATAATCGTCCAAAGTAAAGAGGGTTTTCTGATATTTAGCGTAAAAATTACCCACATAATTGCATTATATGGTGAAATGCGGTTTGTTAAACATACATATGAACAAAGAAGGAATGTATTAATGGCAACATAAAATCATATATACAATGTCAGACGCATCAAATTTTGGCCTGGCAAAATTATACCAGGCTCCATATTTTGTATATGTTCCAGCAATTTCAACTAATGTCTCTCTTTCTAATTGTACAAGTATCGATCCTTCTACCAATTGGCCACAAAAAAAATGGAGGTCCTCTTGGCTGCATTTATGCAAAAATCACAGAATGTTATGCAAAAATCACAGAATGTTATATGCTTATTTAGACTTCTTGTTTGCACTTCTATTGAAAAATTTGCCACGCTTTATCACAGGCTGTTGAATCTTGTTTTGGCTTTGCCTCGGCAGATCTTTGAGCTCCATCACCTGAATCGTCCGCTGCCTCTTCGCTGTATTTCAAAATTGTTACTATCATCTTTACATACCAATAAAAGAAGGGTAAATTTCACAAAACTACAACGAAGTATTAGAGCGTTATGCACAAACTATCATAAACCGTTTCCACTATAGAAAATACTACATTCTTTGAAATCTGTTGAAAAATACAACAATACTATCAAAAACTAACCTTAAAGTCGCTTATAGTGTTTTCAAAAAGTCTAAGATATGTCCAAAATATGTCACATGCGTATCACATGAGAATTTACACCATCATTTGTCAGTCATAAATGGAAAACGTTTATGGTATATTTGAATAAAAAATATTGTCGTCTTTTTGTGCAAAACCCCTAGTAATTGATGTTAGTTTTGTGAAATTATCCTAAAAAGAATAAAAAAAATAAAAGAAGGCAACATACCATCCTGCACTTCTTGATACCGATCTTGAAGCTTTCTCTTTGCAACTTCCAGCTTAATTCTATAATCTGATTCCTCAGACTCCTTTAATGCCTAGAAAACAAATGAAGATATGAGTCTAAAATAAAAATATAATTTCTACGATGTACTAATATTTTAATATTTCATAGCTTGTTGTGCTTACATCTTTCTTAAAAGTGCAGGGCTTTGATGGAACCCCTGAAGGTTTTTGCCTCTGCTGAGTGTTATTATGAGCAGTACCTCTTTCTGAAGGTTTTGATGTCTTATGAGAAGCATCAATAGGCTTTGATACTCTAAATCCTGCTTCTTGATTCCGGAACTCTCTAGAATGTTCTTGAGACTTTTGCCTTCGCTGGGTATTGCTTTCTGATACAGGATGTTTGTCTTCCTTATTCTTTGGTGCTTTATGGGTGGTATCTGTTGGCTTTGAGGCCTTCGGTACTTCCTGCCTTGTGACCTCTACATTGTCTTTCTTCACTGAGGGCCTGCTTACATTGCTCTTGTTTCCTGTGCTTGTGATATCTGCAAGATAATCCAATATATAAGGCAAGAGAAACTATGAAATTTACAAAGGAAAGGGGAAATGAATATGACGATACTCACTTCCATCATCATCCATTCCTTCGAAGAACTAAAATGGAAAAAAGAAATAACATCAGTTTGATGGTGAATGTTGATTCTAAAAGATGAAATGTGTAGAAATAACTACCTTTGAGAACTCAAAAGGAGCGGTTTGTGTAGCTAGGAGAGCTCCCATATCTAATGGAGGAAAATCAAGCTCTGAAATAAGTGGAGACTCTTCTTTGGCTGGAGATGGTTCAATAGAGACAGGGCTCGGTTCTGCAAAAATAATCTGCAGTTAATTGCATATCAAAGAAATAAAATTGGGTCATATTGCTATATTAGACCCCCCCAAAACTTTGTTAATTCTATATTAATTCCTCAAATCTTCATAATTCTAAATTAGACCCAAATCATCATATCAGTTCGAAATGGGGGTCTTAGTTAAAACAATTAAATAGATTTGAGTCTTACCTAAAACAGCTTAATGAATTCGGTGGTCTAATTTAGAAATATGGAGATTCGCAGTCTAATATAGAATTGACAAAGGTTTTGGGGAGCAGGGGTCTAACTAATATGACAAAAGCCAATATAATTATGCTTTCCTAATTTTTTGATGGAAGAATGTATTCAACCTTGAGAAACAGTAGTAGCAGTCACCCACTCCTCGACAAGAAGTTTCCAGCCCCTACAACCCACAAATAAAATTAGCCAAGTGTAATATAATTTTTTCCCTACTTAGTAACCTTCTCTGCTTCATACTACAGTGAAAATATAAGAGTTCATCAATGTTTGAAATATGTCAGAAGTTGATATTTAGAAGATACAGGTGAAATAAACCTGAGATCAATTCAGTGTGACTTATAGTTACAGGATATGAGTCCATATTCAAGCTTGACCTGTTAATATCGAGCAAAATTATTGACGAACTCCATCTGTACATACTTACATATCTATTTAGTAGACACCTGTTCTTTGCTCGTTGCTGTTAAATCTGTCACTTATAATTACTGGTGGATGGGAGGAAACATATAAATGTCAGCTTAAATACTTTACGGATAATATATTACATAAAGTACTGCAGAAAAATTGATCTAGGTTACGAAGTAGAAACACTTTCAAGTTCAACCTATCTGAATGAATAATGATCAAGAACCGACTACGCAAAATGCTCGATTAGAAGTTATAATGAATGTTTTATTGAATTATTATTTGATGATGGAGCACTTGCTCAGGCAAAGTGCTATATGCTTCTTTGCTTTGAGTTAAAAAAAAATCTTATTCTAATATCTCAAATTATTCACGATACCTGTCCTGTTTTACAAATTCAAGTTGACTTGTATTACTAATTCATAAGACTCGTGTCAGTTTGTTCGTTCACTTTGATGTTCGACTGAGCATACGTTTCTCATAATTACATTATACGTACGAGAACCACTATTTATACTAGGAAACTATTGGTAAAAACTGATAGATGAAAAAAAATAAAAATTTGATTATACACAAGTTGAGCATTTTATTTCTAGTGTTTGAATTTTAAGCTCAACCATTAAAAACTCAGCCAATGATTCTTCTTATTTCTTTTTATAAATAGAGCAAATAGAGTTGTGGAAGTAACTTTAATTGAGAAGTAGAGTTGTCTAATCTGCAAACAACAAGAATTTAAGTAGATTAAGATCAATTGTATACTAACGGAAGTATGTTCAAAGCTAGTATATACAAGGACATAGTTAATGTAACAAAAGAAGAAAAAAAGGAAATGAAATAAAAGCATAAAGTAAGGAAATGAAGCCAAAAAACAAAATGCAAAAAGAAGACGAAAGGAATCTGTAAGTCCATGTCAAATATGTATGAATCCAGCAGCTATCTTTTTCAACTACACAATAAATTACAGTCCAAGTAATTTGAATAATACTTAAACCACCAATTACGAAAATAGAAATTACATCCTCTATTCATAGCAAGTCTAAAGTTTCTAATTATTTTGTGCAAGACGTTATGAAACTCACTTGACGAGGGTCTGGGCAAGTTGCCGGATTGATTTTGATTTGTGCTTGTACAGAGCTTTCACGGACTTCCCAATTTTTGTAGCCTAAGGTTCAAAGATAATAATCCAATAAGAAATCGATAATGGCACAAGTCCAAAATACAAGACTTTAAAAGTTAATAAGGAAAAAATGGAATCATACACTGAGGGTTTCTATTGAGAGCTCCATCAATTGCAGCCTCCTTAACGATTCAGATAGAACTTTTTCAGACTGCAAAGAAAACAAAATTTGCCAGAGAAAACTCTTATTCTCTACTGTAATGAATTTTATGCAATTCAAAAAACTCTAATACCAACTTCAAGCCTTTAACTTCCAATTGAAGAAAAACTAATCATCTGTTCACAACCATATTGTACCAATACCAATAATGTCTAGTATAAAGAAGGAAAAAAGATCCAACAGCAACCCATAGTTATGTTATTTCCAGTTGCAATAAATTTTCAAGCAGTCAAATTAGCATGGAAAATCACCAAATAGGAAAATGATACCACGTAACGACATTCCCGTGGTCACTTTGTGATTCATATTTAAACAATCCAAAACAGAAGAATAATTCAACTAGAACAATCAAATAAGATACTCTCAATTTCAGTGGACAAAAGAACCACTAAAATTAAGTATTAGCCGACATTTTGAAACCCAATTAATTCAATGCAGCAAAATTTCCATAACCTAAAAACAAAGTTGCATCCTGGACAATTGCAACACCAATCTGTCAACAAATCAGTGACAGCACCCTATTATCAACTTCCATCCAGCAACATTATAGCAAACAATTCAAAATAAATTCACAATGAAACAACTTTATAGCTACCCCATTTATCAACACGACAGAAAAAAGCAAAACAAACCTCTTCTCTCCAGTTAGCGAGCAGCTCTTTGATCCTCAACACCTCACCAACAGTCTGTTGTTCCTCCTCAATCTCATTTGTCAGAGCCTCAAACTCATCAAGATTCGAGAACTGCGATCTATCACTAATACTCTGCTGATTACTTATAGTCGCTTCACATTCCTCACTGTTACCTCTCTCTCTTTCATTACTCTCCTTTTGAGTATCTTCACTGCTTTCATCATCATCATCTTCGACTACATCTTCAGGAGTCTGAAGCTCAGCTCGATCACTAGAGCACTGCATTGGAAAGCGGGCGTATAGAATCTCCGTTATCTCATCACGGTACGATAAGAACTCAGCAGGGGAGTCGACCGAAGCAACAAGGATAGCATATTTGATCACTTGGAAGACATCAGCATTTGCACAATTGAAGAACTTTCTCCAGTAATCAAGTGAAGTTGTGGGATAGTTCTCAGCCATTTCTGCTCAGCAAACAGCTCAAGGTAAGATTTTTTTGATCAATCGAAATAGAAAAAATCGACTAATGAATTCAAATGGGTTCTCAGAATTTGATTATAAATTTAAAAAAAACCCAAAAAAAAAGAATCTAAATTTGTCCTAAAATTCCGATCATTTCACTGATCAATCCAAATGGGTTACCAGAATTCAAATCCGTTACTCAACCCAAATCAGGAACAACTCAAGGTGAGATTTTGATCAAAAATTCAGACGCTTTGACTGATCAATCCAAATGGGTTTTTGCTCAATTTATCATCATTCAAAACAAAAAAAGAAAAAGAAAAAGAAAAAGATCAACAGTGAGAGTCAAAAGAGGGGAAAAAGGGAGATTTTTTCCCCTAACCTCTCAACTTCCACCGATCAAGTCGCAGATTAAAATGGCAGGCTAAATCCAATCTAAAAAGACTCCAAAAGAAAAAGTATAATAGATCTAAAAAGTTGCTTTTTTGACGCAGAATCCAAGAATTGGGGATAAAATTAGGGATTAGGGCATTCAATCGACAAGCAAATACTTACTAAAATCGCCCAAAATCAATACCGACAAAGGCTACAAACGTCATCGGAGAAGAGAATCATAAGGGGGGATGAATTATTAAAACTTACAACTCTAGCTTTTGAGGCGTGGAAAACTGTAAAACAATTAGGGGGCGGATATGCAAATTTCAAAATATTTGAGGGGTCGGTTTTAATTTTCCACTGGCGGCGCCCGCGCCAAACCATCGGCGATTAATAGGGTGCCAATCGGCGTCGAGGTGCCGCGATGGTGGGCGATTTTGACATTTTGTCCACGTCGTCGTTTACGGAGTTAATAGACGATATTGCCCTCCAAAATCTTCGTTGTTTTGGACAACGTTGGAGGTCACTATGGTAATTGCCGGGGAATAGTCTATGTGATCGTGACCGCGGGAGTTTTGAAGGTGGAGTGTTTGTTACAAATTTGACTTTTCTGCTCGCTTTCGGTCACGTGCGAGCTGCACATGGCCTGTTCTGTGTTTACCCGGACTTGTGTAAACTAAAAAGACTTCGACGGTCAAACAAGCAGTCAAAGTTTATCAGGGGAAGATAAAATAGGGAGGGGGAGGGACGGAGAAAGTGAGGGAAAATATAAAAAATATATGTATTATTAGGAAGGGGAAATTGTTTCTAGCCCCCGATTTCATTACAAGTGTTTCATCTTCTCCCAAGACTTTTTCAACGCTCTCAAAATCTCTAAAAGCAAACACATAATTTCCTGAGCCCCCAAAACACAAAATCTAAGAAAAATCTCCCTTTTCATTTCTGGTCCAATGATATTCTTGGGAGGATTATTAGTTCTTTTGGGGAGATGATCAAGGGATGCAAAAATCTTAAAGAAAAATTAAATGGCCAAGATGTTCGTATCCTGGTTAAAGTGAAAGCGGGTGATCAAATCCCTAAAACAATTGTCTGTTCCTATATCTCTCAAGTAGATTCTTTTTCTAGGGAGGTAACCTTAGAGATTACCCCTATTGGTGTTGGTCAATTGGGTTCTGAAATTATTGGCAAGAATTTAAATGCAAACCTTAGAGATTACCCCTATTGGTGTTGGTCAATTGGGTTCTGAAATTATTGGCAAGAATTTAAATGCAATGCAAGCTCAGGGGGATATTATTCTTGGGTCAATTGGGTTCTGAAATTATTGGCAAGAATTTAAATGCAATGCAAGCTCAGGGGGATATTATTCTTGGATCTCAGTGGGCTGAACAAGTGACCGAACCCATTGTAGCATCAGTGGAAATTCCAGATCAGATTGTTACACCAGCGGCATCTAAAGGAAAAGGAATTATGGATTCTTCAGAACCTATTTTGAAATCAGCTAATTTACAGGACCTTCCATCTGGTTCTGTTCCACTTAAGGAAAGTTTTCAAATTCAAAATGCAGATCTTATGGAGGAGGATCCTAAGGCCACATTTAAGGCAGATTCTAAGGCCAATAATCCGGAGGTTCTGTTAGCAGGAGGTTCAAAATCTCCTCCTGATTCTCTTGCTGATTTTCCTCTTGAATTGGTTAAGAAAACTTGGAAGGGTCATTCAGTCTTTATTGAAAAGTCTACTTGGCAAAATTACATTGGCGGGAAATCTGATTCTACAAACTCAAAATCCTCGGCTACTTCTTTCCCGCCAAAACAATCAATAACACCTTCCGTTCACTTTACCAATTCTGTTCCACCTGGTTTCACTCGGCGTCCATCTCCGGCAGCATCTTCTTCTTCTGTTCGCAAGACTTATCTCAGTCGTAAACACAAAAGCTTCCTCAAGCTGGCCTCTTCTTCAAAAAAGATATCTACCAGGGCTAAGAAAAAAGGTACACTACCTTCATCCTCCACATCCTCATCCTCTGCTCTACCGATAAATTCTTTAGATAAGAATTCTTTTGGCCTTATTGCTGATAACTGTGGTGTTGTTTTATCGGATAAGTCTTTGAATATCATTAAATCCAAAGAAATGGAGAGATATAAAGAGGCTAAATGATGGCAGTCTGCTTTATAGTTAGTTCTGCTGGTTTGGTTTCTATTTTTGTTTTACCTATGAAGATTATTTCATGGAATGTTTGTGGTCTCAATGACCCTATCAAAAGGCGGTTGGTTAAGGATTTTCTGTTCAGTCATTCTATAGATGTTGTGGGGCTTCAAGAGAGTAAGCTTACTGATCCTACACCTAGAAAACTTCAATCTATAGGTGGTAGTAGACTTTCTCATTGGTGTCATCTTAATTCCTCTGAATCTAGAGGTGGAGTTCTAGTTGGGTGGTCTGATGTCTTTTCTCTCATCCAGGCATATGTGGGGATTTTCTCAGTCTCGGTCCATCTTCATCACAAACCAACAAATTGGTCTTTCACATTCACATCTGTTTATGCTCCTATTGATAGGGAGGATAGAGAAGTATGTTGGTGGGAATTAGATCGTATTTGGTATATCCTTCCTGGTCCGTGGATCCTTTGTGGAGACTTCAAGAGACAGCAAACACTGTCTCGCCCGCCGAGACAGTAAACACTGTCTCGCCGTACTAATTTTGTCGTTTGTTGAGTTTTTTCAGTTACAGACCCCTGAGGCTATAAATACCCCCCTAGGGTCACTTCTGACGAGGATCGAGCATATTTTCGAGCAATCTAGAGCAGAGAGATCATATTTGAGTTTTCGTGCAACTCCTTGAAATTAAGCTTTGACTTGATTTTAAGAAGAACGACTATCTTACTTTGATAAGATATCGTTTCAATTTCTCACTTCGATAAACGAAGTCAGAATCAGTAAACCCCCTTCACGATCTGTGATTCGGCGGTCCACGAAATAGAATTATCAATGGAAGCAACTTTTGACGCAAACAAACTGGCGACCACAGTGGGAGCCAGCGGCCTCGCTGCCGAGGCCGTGGTGTCGCAACCGATCAAGATCGTTGTCAATGAAGAGATCGAATACGAGTTCGATCAGGCGAAGTTTGAGGAGTATTTATCATCCTCATCCGCGAAATCTTCCTCGTCTCGCAAATATAGGAAGATTTTGTCTTCTAAGAAAACTTTCAAGTCTGCAATTCCAACGAAGACCGCAGGCGAAGATTCTTGCCCAATCGTTGCTAAGGACTCTCCCTGCAACGTTTCTGCTCCAAATGACTCCGTACCAATTGAGGAGTCATTGAATCATAGCTCGCCGGTGCTGACGAAGAGGGCTCGTCAGAGACAGCGCCAGCGCCGTGCTCGTCAATTGGCTAAGGCCATGCAACAAACCGACGGGGTCCATTACTATGCGGACCTAGAGTCGAAGAAACAGAAAATGACTCAGTTGCCTCAACGGCAGAATAATCACATTTCTGCACAACTTACAACGGAGGAGTGGACCCTCGTCAAAAGGGCCCGTTCAACCCTTAAGGAACGGATACAAAGGCGTCAGACGAAGGCCGCCCGTGCTCGTGCTCTTCGTCAACAAACACAAGGAATCAAGAAGGAGTTGGTGTCTGAAAAGCCACCAAATAACCGTAAAGTTTGGGTTCCGAAGGCGCCGCAAACACCCGTTCCGGGCCCGTTTAATGTATCACCAGTGAAACCATGGGTTAGTCCAGATTTATCAAAGTTCAAGATCACAATGGCGGATCGCCTCGGTCCTTCGGTTGATGATCGAGGCAAAGCCCCAGTCAAAGAACAATCAGATCCAGCGAATAAACCCTTAGTGGTTTCTTACGCAGGGGGTCGTAAACACCCTCCTGTCAGAACTGCACCAGTCCAAAACGAGAGAATACCAGTTCACTCTTGTTTAGGACCTCTGAAAACTCCACACCCGCAAGGGGGTGGATTTAAAAATTTAACTTTGGATCGCTCAGAGGCGACGACCAGTCGTCCTATGCATGTTAATAAAGTTCAAAAACAACAGATAGGTTGCTCAAATCACAATAGTGATGAGCTGTACTATCAGAAAAATAATTCAAGAAAAAGGATTGTCCGAGAAAACGAGTCTCATTGCGCTTGCGAGAGACTCATTAAAGCAGTGCTGACAGAATGCGGATGCTCTAAAAATAATTCAACAAGAGTCTCCGTATTTCAAAGATTGTCCAATGAAGCGTCAAAACCCAAAATGAGACGTTTCAACAAGAAAAAATCTGTAATCCGACAAGATGAGTTCCCTGAGGTCACTATTAATATGACCGGCAGAGGAAGGCAACAGTCTGTCAACCCCGACCCTGATTTCTCTCCGGGAGGGAGAGTTGAGCGGGGTCTCTCTCAAAGAATGTCACGGTTGCAACGAAGAGCCAACCGACGTCGAGACTACAAAAGGATGCACGAAGGATTATCTTCAGATGAAGAACTGTCAGACACTTATTCTGCTGTAGCTTCAGACAGTACCGCATCCAGCGTAGGGCGAGTCAGAGAATCATTCGCAATCACGCCAGATCAATTGGCTCACATACTGCAGGAAGCGTTGGCTAAACAACGTGAAGAAATTAGAGCTGAATTCAAAACCGAGATGGAGTTGACTATGCAGCAGATGCGAGATTTGCAGGTTCAGCAACATCAACCGGAATCAAGCCAAAGAGCAGAATCTAGTCGGCGTAATGAAGAAGATGAGAATATCTTCGACGATCCTCCTCCAGATAAAGACAATTCCGGAAGCGGTCCGACCAAGTCATCCACTCAACCTCCGCAAGTTTACTTGAAGAAGAGTGAGGAAGAGGATAAGAAGATGCATGATCTCGAGAGCAAAGTTAACGCTCTGATGACGGCCCAAGAAGTAAAGAAAACGGACATTCCATACCCGTACCCGAGGGAGTGGGACCTAATTCCTTACCCCCAGAAATTTAATTTGATTAACTTTACTCCTTTTGATGGCAGGGGTTCACCAACTCAGCACTTGATCTATTTCAAGTCACATCTTGGCGCAATATCCGGAAATGAAGCCTTGATGGTCCGGTCATTCGTAGGAACCCTCCGCGGGCCTGCCTTCGATTGGTACCGACGCCTTAAGCCTGGGAGTATCACTAGCTGGGAGGATATGGAAGAACTATTCCTCACCAATTTCTTCGATGACGACACAGAGGTCTCAATTGGCACGTTGTTGGATGAAAAGCAGAAAGATGGGGAATCGGTTGACGTCTTTGTCAA